CACACCAATTTCTTTACAGCAGATAAGTGGTCATTTAGTGACGTGTGCTGTCTCTCATTTTCCAAGCACTTTCGGGGCCGTGCAGGGTCCCCTTCATCAGGCTCAGAGATGAGTGGGACCCTGCGCAGCCCTGAAAGCGCTTGGAAAATGAGAGACAGCACACGTCACTAAATGACCACTTATCTGCTGTAAAGAAATTGGTGTGCTGGTGACAACAATCTGTCCCGGTCTCCCACTTGTGCTCCTGCATTGTCAACCTGTCATACAGTTTCATAATAAAGGCAATTATGATACACTGGGATTAATTATGGTCAGAGTTTGCATCTATTCTAAACACTGTAGGCTGCCCACTGAGGGCAAAATGGCAGTGCCATCTAATAGCCGAGGGGTAGGCAACAAGGGCACTCCAGCTGTTGTGGAACAAGAAGTTCTAGGAGACATCACAAGACTCTTGACAGCCACGACTCCCAGAGCCAGAGGCATGATGAGTGCAGGGTGCCGGAGTCCGCCTTGTGGTGTCAGAGCTTACCCGGCTGGATTACATCACTGCCCCGCACATGTGACAGTATTCAGACTTTGGCGATTGGCCGCTGTGGTCAGAGCGCTGTCACATGCTCCTCCATTCCAGGAAGTCCCACTCCTGGCGCCAATGAAGAGGTGGAAGGGAGTGCAGATGGGTGAGGCGGGTCCACCAGTGGCGTAACAATCGCCATAGCGACCCAGGCGGCCGCTATGGGGCACAGGGGGGCCCGGCCAGATGCCGAGCGGACTGCCTGGGTTGCTATGGCATCCTCTGCTGGTGGCTTTCACTGGCGGCTCTGAAGAAGAATGCGCTGCTGTTCAGATCACCGACTGTAATCTGTGCAGCTGTGCGTTCGTCTCCAGAGACGCTGCTGAGTCAATGAGAGCCAGCAGCGGCGGTGGAGGAGGCCGGACCCGGCAGGGGAGGAGGAGGCGGGGCACGGTGAGGGAGGAGGCGGGGCCCATCGGCTAGTGTGGAGGAAGAGATGTGAATGTACGCTATGTAAAGTGCCGTGTAAAGGGACAGCGCTATATAAATAAATAAATAAAATCTCTTTAAGGGCTTGTTCACACCAAATGCAGAGCAGATCTGCATGAGTTTCTGCACACACAGTGCAGTGGGTTG